AATCAGGAGGTTCTGCAAGGCTATAGATGCTGGCAGTGTGACTCTTTCCAGTGTAGTCAGGCGATTGTAGGAGAGGTCAAGCAGGCGAAGTGAAAATGCCCCTTGGAAAGCTTGGGTCTCCACACGCACCAACTGAGCCTTGCGTACATGCAGCACTTCCAGCCGGTCCAGACCACGCAGCCAGCCAGCTGGCAGCACCCTCACGCTGCTGTATGACAGGTTCAGATGGGTCAAGTAGGACAGGTGGCTCAGCACTGGTACCACTGAAAGGTTGGTATGGGTGATGAAGAGCGTGCTAAGATTCAGACCCTGCAGGGCAAGTGAGGACACAGCTTCCAGAGCTGGCCAATAATCCACCTCAAGATGACGCAAACGGCCCAGGCCCTTGAAGGTGTGTGGTAGCAGTTCTGCGATGTCCAGCTGTCTAAGGCGAAGGCTGGTTAGGCCATGCAGGTGTGCCAGTGCATGGCTGGGCACAGCACTCAGGTTACAGCGCTGCAGTGTCAACGAACGCAATGCAGGCAAGCCACTGAAGGCACGGGGTGCAACAAAAACCAGCTCATTGTCAGCAAGCTCAAGCACACGCAGACGCCGCTGGTCCTCAAAGCCATAATCAAGCAGAATAACCAGACGGTTCTGGCTGATGTCCAGAAGAGTGAGCTCACCTAGGCCAGCAAGTGCACCACGTGGCAGCAAAGTAAGCTGATTGTTGCGCAGACGCAGTGTTCGTAAGCGTGGCTGGGCACGAAAACTTCCAGGCTCCACAGAAGACAACAGGTTGGTGCTCAAGTCAAGCTCCTCTAGCAACAAAAGGCCAGAGAAATTCTGTGGTGTGATAATGCGCAGACGGTTTTTGCTGAGATCTAGTGCACGAGTCTCGATGGGGATGCCCTCGGGCACCTGCGCCAGCCGCTTGCGGTGGCACGAGACCGAACGTGTGGGCACAGAACACTCACAACGGGCAGGGCAAGCCTGGGCAGGGTACGGGAACAGTAGGAGCAGTAAGAGGGAGAAGCCCACAGCACAGGAGAACAAAGAGAGCAGCATGACCACCTGCAGGACGGGGGAAGGTGCAGAGATGCAGAGAACAATAGAGATAGAGATGTAATTAGACAGTTTCACTTATGCACAGTCACAAGCATGCCCAAAGTGTAAAGAGTGTATACCACTTGATTCAAATACACACACAATACATAATCACTGAAATGCTTTTACAGTCAAATGCCTACAAAACCTTTAATGTTTTCACTCTACATCCTAGCCCCCTCCTCTTTCAAGACTCATTTTGATGGATATTGTGATGTATTGTCTGTAGCATGCACACACATATTCACACATGCACAAGTGTCCCTTTCAAGCAAACTTCTTCAAACATTCTATTTCTATGGAAACCCTATATCCCCTTGGCACAAGTCCTGATTTCCAGTTCTGAATCAATAACAGAAAAAGTAAACGCCATGGGTTCTACAGGCCTAATCTGCAGGATTTTTCAAGATTTATATTACATAAAGACTCTACCTGTCATTCTTTCTCAGACTACACATGTTTAAACCTCACTGACAGCAAACAGTAAGTGTACTTATGGTATTCGATTCATCATCTGGCAGAAATGAAAGAAACGTGTTTTACACAGGGTGTTTAGATGCGGTTGAAAAAGAAGTTAATTCAATAATGCCATTAAAAGTATGACTTTTCCCTTATCAAAAGCCTCACAGCAGGCTCGGCTGCTCCCTGAAGAGGAGCAACCTCATTTCACATACTTAAACATGCTTACAGGATCTTCACATAGCCTCAGCAGTTCAGCAGGGTGCTATTCACAACTTGCTTCTAATTTTAAGATAAGAGCTCTTAATCATCTGCCCTTTTTTATATGTTAATGTGTTTCATTAATTATAAGGTGGGCGAATTATTCATATACTATTCTATTTGACTAGTTATTTGATTAAACTCTTCATAGTGACTAATATGGACTATTGAAAATATTTGGATGTTTGTCAGCAGTAATGAGATTGTAAAGCCTAAAAGTGCCAAGTGCTACATTTGCTTAGGTGAGATGCTTAGTCTCTTGATTGCCTCGGACTGGGCATAAACAGAAGTGGCAGACATCAATAATCATAACAATGATGAAAGAATGAGGCACTTATCTCTGAGTGCAATTCTGCCCCATTATATATGCCTTGAAAAATCTATGATGATGATACACAGGGTACACTACAGGCCACAAACCATGCTGAAAATATGATAGTTTGTGATATGACTTTTGAAGTACTTCGAATAATTTATAGTCCCTCCAATCTCTTGAAGAAAGGTTGAATATTGTAGGCTTTTCATTAGTTCCTCAATAGATGGAAAATTGTTTCATATACAGTACATTTCTTACATCGAAACGGACATTTGTTACACTTAACATAGGAAACCTTGCATACGCATACTTGGGAATTCATTAAAAGATTTAGAGCACAGAATAAAGACTGTTTCACCTCCTTAATCAAAACAGTAGAGAATGTGCTTTAGTGCAAGTGACAAGCTATTGGCCAGTTCTCTTAGGATTGCTTTGCTCGATAAGCCCTGTAGTAGGCTTTCCTTCCAAATCAATATCAGCGGATGCTGTGGCGCTTGTTGTCGTATCGTCTTTTGAGAGGCAGCGAGATGGTGAACAGGTTTCTGTGTAAGAAAGCCATTGCCAGAACCTCACAGAGTTCAATATTCATTTGCTATCTGTCCATCAAAATTTTTATTTACAGATTTGTCATTTTAGTTTGTTTGTTTTTAATCCCAAATTTCTAAAGCCTTATATGATTTTTAAGGTGGCATAATTTATAATAATAATAATAATAATAATAATAATAATAATAAAAATAAAAATACATGTTTAAGGTATATATGTTCATACCTTACTTTGAGTAAAAGTCTTCATTCTTAAGTCTTTAAATGGCATGTTTCTAGATAGAACTGATCAATGCACAGCCAATTTCACATAATCTTTTGAATGAAGATACAGAGCAGGTCTGCAAGGGGGGCTGCCGGTAAAGGCTGTGGTTCATTAAAGAGAGAGGGAGGGAGAGAGGACCGCTCACTCACCGAAGGAGTTTATTAAGTTTTAATGAGTTAATAATTCAATTCATTCCTGTGAAAGCTTGAGGCCGACGTGATGACAGTAGCCTTGACTCGGGAGCATATGCCTGGTGACGTAATTCGTTCTAATTTTAACTGAATCTGAGAGAAATCTTGGACAATGACTTGATCTATTAATCATCATACGCAGCATGAGATCAGATCAAATATATCAGAGTTACCTAGTCAGGCAGGTGGAGACAACTTGTTCTCTCTTTCACTTTCTGTCACACCCTCTCTCTCTCTCTTTCTCTCTCTCTCTCTCTCTCACACACACACACACACACACACACAAACAGAAACAGATATCCACATTCATGTGTGTGCTCGTTCTTCATGATCACACTATACAAAACATCAAGCATTAGCAGAGCCATCAATCTAAAAGTTCCCCTCTGTGCTGTTGCTGTTCTTACTGTTTGTCGTGTGTGTGGGTTTTTTTTTTTCGGGTGGGCGGGGGGGTGTTATAACGCCTCTTAACTGTCATCTGTGATATTCATTAGAAGAATGGTGGGTTCATTTGCCGTGTTGTAGTGTCAAAAAAAACCTAGACATCTCTATCTCTGTGTTTATCACCTCTATCTGTCATGGAGTCTTGCTACCTAAGAACTCGATTTTGGAGTCTGCAGTTTCTCTTACTTTGTCTAATTTTAGTTTATCTAATTTTAGACTCATCCATTTTTCATTGGGTGAAACCAGTCACTGTGAGCCAAACACCCATTTCCCACAGGGTGTTCATGTGTCTCTGCATATATGTGTGTGTGTGTGTGTGAGGCAGGGAGAGGAAACAGAAAGTGAGCACGTGTCGTGTATGAATTTGTGTGTATGTAATATATGGCAGCATAACCTGGAGCAGAATTTAGGAGTAGGTGCTGTAGGATCTCCATGGGTGTCAGATCCAGCCCAATAAAGCACTATTGACTCTTGTTATTGATCTTTGGGTTCTCACACATTCACATCCACACACACCCCTCATATTATTACCTGGGGGCCTGTGCCCCCATTGCAACCCAGCTGTGAGTCAAACCCATACCTCTGCATGCTTCATATCTATAAAGCTCAGGTGAGAATCCACTCCACCACATTAATAACATTGCATTATGTGTCGATCTTCTATCTGGTATTATTATGCATTATAAACTATACTTCATGAATGGGGCTCTGTGTTATTGAAATATATTCGGAGAGCAGAAATCGACTGCTTGTCAACTAAACCAATCATGATGCTTTCTGGTCTGAGAAAGCTTTATTTGAATAAATAAAACTCCTATTTGCACAATGACTGTCTTTCATGCGAGAGTGAGACAGTCACAGAGACATACAGCATAATGGGTGTGCTTTTTTTGTGTGTGCAAGTATGCACTAAAGGTTATTTTTGAGGGTAAATATGGATTATTGGTCTTGCTCTGTCTGTTTGCGCGTGAGTGATAATGGGATGATGGAATACGGAATTATTTAATGGGCTTCAGTAGCGTGTTTACTGAGCTGTCAGAGTGTTTACTCTGTTTTTCCAAACACAGAGAGTAAAAATGCTCTCCTCTCTCTAACACACACGCACACACACATTAAAGCATAACATCCCAAAACACACACACACACACACTATATATATTAATGTACACTCTTAGAAAAAAATAATCCACTTGAAGAGTTTCAGATATTATATTTGATATTAGCTTCATCGCAACCTTCTCTTTCAGCTGCTCCTATTTCAGGGTCACCACAACGGATCACCCGTCTACATATTGATTCTGGCACAAGTTGTTTGTTTTTTTGTTTTTTTAAATGCCGGATGCCCTTTGTGACGCAACCGTCCCCATTTTCCAGGCTTGGGACTGGCACTGAGTGTGCACTGACTCATGTAACCCTCCAGTGGTTGGGGTCAGTTCCCTGGCCAGGAATCGAACCCGGGCTGCGGTGATGAGAACGCCACATGCTAACCACTAGTGCACCAAGGAACCTTCATAAAATATGTAAATAAAAGATCATAAAAGACTTCTATTCAGAACCCTTTCTGACAGGGAAAGTACTTTATAGAGAATCTTCAAATCAAAGAAGATTTGAACGTGTACACGGTAGATGCTTAAATGTTGTGCCAGGATTATGTTGTGGGGTGGTCTAAACAAGACCTTTTAGCTGTCCTCATATTCGACACACGTGAATTGAAGAGGGCTTTGACCAAATGCGTGTCGTGATGAAGTCACATGACAAATCTGCAGGAAAATCTTAGAAATAAGTAATTTCGAAATTACCATCCAAATATTGTGGTAGTTTGCTTGATTTGCGTCCATTTCTGCGATCGCAAAATCCTGGAGAAACTGTTTAATGCTGATGAATCTACCCTAAAGAACTTGCTTGCGGCTTTAAAGAGTGAACTGTTGATTGTCAATTGGTATGAGCATTGGTATGACATACACACCCACACACAACCTACCCCCTCCCCTAAGAAAAAAAACAAAACAAAACAGGTGCAATATGAAACAATACAGAAAGATCCAAAGTAGAGGCAGAGGAAATGTTATTGTTATATTCTTTAGAGAAATCTTGAAAGATATAAAGCAATTAAGCTACAGGGGGAAAAAGAGAAGGAAGGAGACGGGCTAAACATTTTAGACTATTTCTAAAATAACATGATGTGATCATCAAATTGAAAACAGAAAAAAATATGAAGCCATACTGATTCATCACACCACCTGCCTATCTCAGATAATAACTCTAAGGTGTGTGCAGTCACGTATGTTTGGCCAATAGGTTTGTGTGTGTCTTCCTGTTCATTTCTGTACTTCATACACAGAAGATACATGCAATTAAAACACTCTCTCTCTTTCTCTCTCTCTCTCATATATATATATATATATATATATCATACACACATGTACACATACATACATACATATGTATATATATATATATATATATATATATATATATATATATATATATATATATATACACTGTATGAGAGAGAGAGAGAGAGAGAGAGAGAGGTATGGAGAGACTGACACACACATACACGCACGCGCACACACACACATACACACACACACACAGAAAGGCAAGGTTTGATCAGCCAACGCCTGCTCCAGACATCAACTCTGCAATGCTAATTAACCCTGCAGGCAGAACTGAACAGAGAGAGACAGTAATGCTCACCACACACTCTCTCTCTCTCTCACAGGATGACAGACACACCTGAAATGGCTTGTAATTAAATGAATAAGAAAAGAACGCTACAGAATGTAATGTGGTAGGTCCAAGACATTCTATTTAAACAACAACCAATGCCATTCCTATTTCCGTTTCATTCTTATACTCTTACTAGAGTGCAATAAAGCAGGACTCGTGGTGATGTGTTGTCTCTTCCTCTATCCCAAACATTGAAGGCCACAGCTTTCTAACAAGACCTATCTTCTGTTAAATGCAGATAGAATTGGCTTGCACAAAATGTATTAATTTTAGGGTCCAAAGTTGCTTGAACAGAGCACGTAGACGAAGGCGGCGTTGCCTTCAAAACTCTGGAAGAAGGAATTTCAGTAAAGCTGTACACACATACACCAGACACCCGCTCCGATTCTTCAGATCTCAGCACAAAATAAAATTAACTGAAACAATTTGCTGGAATATAAAGTGAGTTTGCATAAGTTAATGTGATGCCTGCTCAGATGCAAATGTAAGCTAGGTAAAAACAAACACATTCTGTCATTTTGGTATTCATAATGTGCTGTTCTATAAATCTTAGGTTTGAACTTCAGCTTGCCGACTCACTTTCGGCTTTTAAAAAATGACTGAATAAATGCATGCTTTTATCTTCAGTAACACTTTACCCTGAATTTTTTTTAATGATAAAAAGATCCGTTCCTCTATTGCCATCCTCACCGACTACATTAACATACACATCAAATTCCATTTGAGGTCTATATTCTGGTTGCAGCCATACTCCGAATACGATGTTTGTATGTGTACAGGCATCGTGATATTCCTTTTCCGCTGTTATTTCCAGAGAGATTCAGGACGCTGCTGTTGGTTATAAAGTATGCTCAGTTATTAATTTTATCACTACATTTTCACACTAATTTAATTAGGACTCACCGCCTCGAAATGGAAAGATTTGGGTAAGTATCTGTTAAGCTAAGCATCCTTTAGCACCCACAATTCCTTGTGGACTGAGCACACGCGCATATCTCCTTTCAGTGCATTTTCTGAATAAGGTGTTTACATGCAACAAATTTCCGATTAAAACAGGCATATTCCAGGGGTGGGAATCAGAATTTGGGAAATCAGTACATTGTCTTAATTGGATTGCGGCATTCACATGACTCAATACTAATTTAAATATTGCCAAATCCGATTAATATCGGAATATCAATGTGCACGTAAACGTAGTCAGTGACAAACCGATGTTAATACTACATAGTTTTTGTATAAAAGGTAGAATATTTTGTGTCTTCTACTAATTCCTGCCACTTCAACATACTGTAAAGTGCATAAAGTGAAACAGAACGGGGTTTCTTTTCAAGACCACTACATCTACTCCATTCTTGTAAAGAATTTGTAGAACTGATACAATAGGACAAGATCTGGGATTTTGTGGAATAAGAATAATTGCATAGAGAGAAGTAAAAGAAAGTAAAAAAAAAAAGAGCAACTGATCTTCAAGTCTGGTCATCAAGTTGTCAACAGATAAAATTACACCAGTGGAACATCAGCAAAAGGTCAGTGTAGAAAATTCTGCTACCATCATGTGATTTGATTGGCTGGCCAAATCTTAAGGAGAACACACGCTTCTTACTAGTTAAGCCCGAGTGTCAGTGTTTGGATGTAAGAAGCCACCACTCCTTGATTCAGACAAGGCCTGTGTGGAATTATTGAGTAGTTGACAATGTAAGTTTCTTTTGATAATTTGTTTGATATTTTGCATAGTTTGAATTCTAGTTATGTTTAATGTTATTTGATTTGTTAAAGCTGATTTCAGCTGAATGATTTAAGACGTCTTAAAGTGTTTGTATTACATTCATTGTTTCTATTTGTTTATGGTTTTATTAGAAACCAACAATTACCATCACTTGTCATCATTGGGAAATGTCTACTCCTACATGTTGAAATAAACTGAGAAAAAGAGACAGATGACCTTAAAATGAGTTTTAATGGACTCACCACTCTGGTAGCAACAGCCAAATCAGCCTAAAATTGCTTTGAATTTTTTTATAGTTATCATAAATAAAAAAAACCAAAGGCTTTCTTAGCTCTAGAAAAAGAATGTGGTTTGTACTCTAGTACCTTACCACACTAGAACTTTTACCTTTCTTGCAAATCAGTCCCTCTGGGATTTACCAATTTTGCAGAATCGTAGTAATGAACGCAAAATCGAGTAAACTCCCCAATACTTGGAGGAGCTTTAAATTTTTTTTCAATTACAGCAGATTTTCTTCAGATGTGCTGACGTCACAACACGCATTCAGCCCAAACCCTCTTCGATTCACGTGTGTCGAATGTGGGTACAGCTAAAACGTCTCATTTACCAACAAACTGTGAAAGACCGTACAAAACAATTTTGTGCAATTGTGATTTCACCAATTTAAGTAGTTTTCCACAAGAAAAAGCTCAAAAGTTGCATCACAAATTTAGGAAAAAGCTGCAGCAAAATCAAGCATTTTTGGCTGCTACAGTCATACAAAAAAAATCCTCCATGAAATCCTGTACAGACTGGATTATTATATATAGACTGGATTAATACAGACTATTCATCCATCCATCCATCCATTTTCTATACCACTTATCCAACAGGGAAACCTGGAGCCTATCCCAGGGAGCAAGGGAGGACGGGGTGCCAATCCATCACAGGGCACAATCCCATACACAGTCACACACCCACTCATACACTTTGGGCATGCCAGTCGGCCTTGGATTGGGGAGGAAACTGAAGGAAACCCCCCACAGCACAGGGAGAACATGCAGCGGCAGGATTTGAACCCCCAACCCTGGAGGTGTGAGGCGAACCTGCTAACCACTAAGCTTTACAGAAATATATATTCACTCAATCTGTAGACCTTTGACCGAACTAAATTAATAAAGCTCTTAAATGTTCTGAGACTTTTTTGGTACATAATTAAAGAGGTTGAGCTGCACACACCACCAAGCAGTTTCATAGCAGCTCGAGTGAACAGATCCTGGACAGTCTGCCAAACACACAAACACACATAGGGGAACACACACACAGACCTGACACACAGACCCACACATCTCCCCACATACATATTCAATTTTAGGCCTGATGTATGCTAATTGATGCACACAATGCAGATTGCGAGTGGGGCAGCTATCAGGCCTCAGCTCTTCAGAGAGTGGTTTGTTCCCAAACAAGATAACAAGCCAGCTGGAATTGCAAATACCTAAATTCATATGCCCATGCACTTCTGTGCAAAGAAACACCGGTCACAGTAACAAATACACTAATGATTACATTGAGCTCCTCTAGTGCCTGGAGTTTGCAGAGTGTGCAGTGCATGCAGAAGCAAGCTTCCTAAACTCATTGAAGCATTGAGACCCATTCAGAGACAGATCACTACTTCAATTTATTCATAGCCACAGGGACACAGGATTAGACAGGTATGGGTAAAAAAAAAAAAAAAAAAAAAAAGGAGCAGAAGGGAAATATCCGAAAGTAATAAAGAGTTTGAAAACTCACTATTAGAAGATGAATCATACAGCTGCAGTGTGAATAAATTTTATTAAAAGGCTGTTCATTGGGCATACTTGGAATATTCCTTGAGGTCACCAGGTCAAGCAGATGTGGATTTGTGCCATGTATGCTTTTTAGAAAAATTAAAAGGCACAAACATGGAATGTGAAAAGAGACAAAATAATGTTCATTTAATTAACATTTGACATAAATCAATGTGTGATTTTTTAACAAGCTGAATTTGATGATTTTTTTCCCCAAAATTGTGAATTTTAATGA